CGGAGCGGGCAGTTCGTTGTGCGTGTGCTGCTGCCTTTTGCCTAAAGGTTCTCTTCGGCTTCTCACTGAACATCTAGACAGGCGCTGGTAAAAGCGTAATAAAACTGCCCGGTTTAAAGATCAAAAAGCACAGAAAGTGGCGTAGTGCAACACAGTGGCTGAGTAAGTGTTCTGCGTGGGAGTCGAGATCGCCCAGTTGCACCCCCGTGCTTTTCCCGTATTGCTTCAAAATTACTTTCTTTTCCTCCCTTTTCACGTTTGGTAGCAGAAAATGCAGTAATGTGACTCATCCAGGCTGTGTTGCTGAGGTTGTCACGGACTGCTTGGTCATAAATTTTCATGTTTCTTCCAGCCTCAGTTTGCAGAGGTTGATGTTGCAGGTCGCATCTGCAAAGTTATCCTTGTTATTTCTGTGCTGCTAATCCAGGTCTGAGATTGCGTAAATAGGAAGCACATAGGTGGTGTTTGCTTTCATCCTGTGTCCCAGGTCCCTATGTTTAGATTCATTTAATAGGAAGAGACACAAAGATACATTAAGGAACACAAAACTGTCATTCTGTGGTTTTAAAGTAGAAATGATCGTTAAAGTATATGAGGTGCAATAATGGTTCCGGCACCAGAAACACACTGGAATACTGTGTTGATTTTATGGTATGCTAAGGTTGCTTCCGTACATCAATCTGTAATTATGCACGTGCTTTGACAATTCAGTAATACAAAAATTAATTAGTGTGACTTATTAATGAGGTAAGCTTTGAAAGATCGAAGGTGAAGTTTTAAAAATTTGCCTTTGATTTGAAAGTTTTACCACTGGTAAACACATATGTGAACCAGATGGTAATTGATGTATATATTGGATACCCTTAGTTAGCCTTTAGTGTTTTATATTAGTGTGCAAAACTAGTTGTCTCTTACCAAAAATTCTGGAGCCCTTCAAATTACTTTATTTGTGGTTGTAACCTAAATCTTAAATATTGAATGCCAGTGCTGAGAATATACTTTGATTTTTAAGTTTGAGAAAGTGGGCAATGCAAAGCGTATTCAAACATAGAGATAGGCTTAGAGTTTTGCTTTACTTCCAGCCAATCTTATTTGATAATTTGTGGAGGCTTTTATAACTCCCTTTTTCATTTGGAGAAGTTGTCTGAGCTGGCTTTTGTGAGGCTGTTTTTGCTTTGCTGGCCTGCAGAGGGTATTGCTCACTATCTGTTCCTTGAGTGGCACCACAGTGGCTGGTATCTTACATGCCTGAAAATTTAAAAGTTGTTCCCTTGCAACCTCCCCTCCCCAACTATTTTGTGTTACATATTGTCATGTAGCCTCATAGTGCAGAGACACTGATTAGCAGAAATATCATTACAAAAGACTGGCCTTGAATTTTAATTCATACAGTCTCTGTAATGATATCAGTATTTCAGCTCCCCATGTGGAGAAGATTTACACCTTTAAAATAAGAATTTACATATAAAATTCCCAGTGAGCCACATGGGCCATGAGGTGGAGATGGCAAGTTTTTTCTAAATCTAAGTACTTGCTTCTACAGGTAGGTAAATTTAGGTTGTGTTTAGAATGTCAGCGTCTTTCTTTGTTCATTATGTTCTTACCTTTTTTCTTTGAGGTATTTGGCAGATTTTTCCTGTACAAGTGACTGAAAATTTTACACAATTTTGGAGATTAATATGTCATCTTCTACCTACAGATTTGGTTTATACTTTGTGGGAAAGCCTGAAACCCCAGGAGAATTACACCTTTTATTGTCAATCCTGTGGTGACATCATAGTAGAAAAACGGTGAGTACTGCAGTGTTTTATTTATAGCAATAGATGCTGTGGTGGTTGGTATTCATCTTATTTTGTGTACTTACAGAGACAGCTAAAAGGTATTTACTTTGAAATTGATGGATGAGAACACTTGAAGCCCTACGGATGGCTAAAACCAAAATTACCTGAAACAGCTTTTCAACATTTATTCACTGAATTCTTGATTTCATTCTGGCTGGAAAGTAGAAGTACTTTACAAAGGGAGTTTGATGCATTGCCCTGGAAGCTGGGAAATCTGGATTATTTTCCTGCTTGTCTGCTATGCTTTGAGTGAAACATTTCCTTTTGTAGCTGGACTTCCCTATGAGTAAAAATTCGGCTTTGAGATCTGTGCTTTTTGTTCATACAGGATCTCTGCACTTATGATAGTTTCTGGTTTTGCTGCACAAACATGGGTAACATTTTGGCCTGGAAATACTGCATATGTTCATAGTTTTCACTGATGTAAAAAATACTTATAGTCTATTAATAGCTGACATCTTTGCCAAGTTGAAGGGAATAAAACTGAAAATGTGAGCCTAGACTTCTTTCCTCCTCTGCACTTCAGGGATCCTCTTCAGTTCTGCTCCATCTCTTATGTATTCCTTTTAGTTATTATGCTGTAGTTACAGAGAGGTTGCTCAGAGTGGGGATGTTGACCACAGCTCCCTTCCATCTGTTAAGCAAAGCTAACCTCTGCATAGTTCAGGGATGCCAAATTTGGGAAAAAAAAGAGATGTTTCTTAGCTGTGGGACTCGTCTTTAACTCTGTTCCTTACAAAGTCTGCAGCGTGAATGAGAATTTTAATAAAAAGCTACTGCATTTTCTGGCTGTTCTGATAAACGATTTGGACAGCTTCAGCTGGATCTATAAGAATTGTTAAGAGATGCTCTTGCAGCCTTTTATGATCTGTGTCACTCCTAATACTCAAAATGGTAATTTCAGTGCAGTATATCCTGTAAACTCCTGTTCCTTTCTTGTCATACATAAGGATTTTTGACTGGCTTGAATGTAGCAGAATGAGGATTTACTGTCTTCTTTCCTGAAATATCTCATCAGGAAGTCCAGTAATAACTCCTATTTTGATTCATTTGTAATGAAACTTCTAATTTCTAGTCAGTAACATTTGCGTTAAAAAAATACTGCACTTTTACATTTTTGTCTATGAGCGGGCGTTTTCCTGAATTTTGGCACATCAAATTCATATGCATGAAGTTTACATCTTTTGGTTCTGCATCCTGTAGTGTGACACAGAATTTTTCGAGAAAGCAAAAAGAAGGCATGTTCATGGCTCTTTGCTTGGTATTTGTCCTTGCAGGGAACCTCTGAGCCCCTCGAACGCTATCACTAAAAAAATATCAATTAAGACAAGGGTGGATGAATGAAGCTGCCAGTGTATCTAACACCTTCTGTTGCAGCACTTCCAAAAGGAGGACAGGAGTTCCGATAGGTCTTCACGTCTATGCTCTCTGATTTCTTCTCAATTACCCTCACATTACCCGTGTTAGAGGAAGTTATTAGACTTCTTTTTTTTCCCTTCCAAAAGCTGCTTTTTTCTTTGTCTTATTCTAGTTAGGCTAAGTGTAGCTCACATATAAAATAATTCTTTAAGGCTTTATTTCTGTCATGAACAAATTCCTAAAGGCTTGTGGTGGGTTGACTGGCTGGAAATTCCTACTGGTCAGAGAAACTGCTTTTGTGGGGCAAGATTTCAAGATCTTGATGCTCTAGACTGTGAAGGTAAAGAAAGGGTAATGTAATGAACCTGTATAGCATTAGTCTGCAACTTAAAGTAATGTCTTTTTCTCCCTCTGTATGTAACATGAAAAAAACATTGCTGAGCAATACCAGCTTTTTGTTAGTGTAGTGTAAAAAGCAGTACATAGGAGTGAAGACTTATTTTTTTCAGTGTGAGTCTGGACATTAGAACTAATTTTACAAGCCTGACAAGTAGTGAGTCATCAGGCCAACACCAGAATTAAGGTCCCGCCATGGCAAAATTGTGGTTCTGTCTGAGGCAATATACAAGACCAGAGGGAGTGTGGACGGTGATAGGTAGTGCTGAGAGATGATCTTAGTTACGGTAAAGCCAAGTCAGAGGACGAGTTATTCCAACTTTCATCTGCAGGTGGGGCAAGCACAGTTTAAAATGTATTGTCGATCCAGAAAGTTTTCATAAGAGATTTTTCTTTCACCCACCCAACAATACAAATGGCTCAAGAAACTACAACGGGAAGAACTGACATCTTCAGAAAAGAGTAGTCAGTGAACTTCAAGAAAGGGAGGATGTCTAACTGTTGGTGGTAGAAGCTGTGTGTTTATTTGCAAAGTAGCACCAGGAGCAAAGTCGTATTTATGAGTTTTAAGTGAGGAGCAGAATCAAGAAACTCTTTATGTACAGGTTTCAGGCAGCAGCAGAAGAAATAAAGGAGCAAAAGGAAGGCATTCAAGGAAACTAGGCAGAGAGCAGAAAGTGCAGCTGTGCAACAAACAGTACTTTTGGAAAACTGCTAGAATGGTGCGCACTCTTAAAGCTATTGCCCATAGTTTTGGTAAAGGGGTTGAATTTTTTCCCAGTGCAGTAGTTTTTCTAGAAAACAGAGATTAAAGAAAGTGTTAATATGTGCACAGTATCCATCAATACTTCTGTACTCATAATAAAAAGCATTGATAGGCTCACAGAATGGCTATAGGAACTGTAGGCAGGAAAGTATTCACCCCTCACTCATAATGACCAAGCTGGTATTTATATAGCCACATGTGTATATTCTAACTTTAAGACTCTGTTTTTCAACTTAAACCAGTGATTCCAAACCTTGGCTTATAAAATCCTCTGGAACTGTGTGTAACCAGAGTTAAAAACAACACTGATAAAACAAAGTCTGGTATTGACTAGAGCAGATCCATACAGCTGCCTAGGAGAAAGGTATTTGGCGTTTTTCTATGTGAATTCAGAAAGCTGAATCTGAATCTAAATTAAAATTACATTATCCTTTTTTAAAAAAAAATTAAGATATACTGGGATATTTTTGTCAGGATTAATCTTTTTCAAAGTCTGGTATCTGACTCTGAGGGGCTTCAGAGGACATGCTCTCTCTCACTGTGGCAGCAGTCTGTTTCTGTCGGTTTTATATCAACAGTTGGTGCAAGGGAACTTTACGAGAAGTAATAATAAATATAATTGCAAAACGCCCATTGTTATATTTTTCATGATGGAGTACAACCGTTTTATTTCTGCCGTGTGATTAATATCAAGCGAGGATTATGCCAAGTTCTGCCTTATAAACATTGGAGATTTACCATTGGGAAAAGCTTCATCACAAACTTGGCAGGAACACTCAGCCATTGCTTTCTCACAATTCACAGAAAATGCCTTTGACTGAAAGGAGAGTCAAGCACTTCCTCTTGAGAAAGTGCCATACTTCCCCCCTCTTTTTTGTAAGGCATCTAAACTCACTTTTAGTATCTTAGAAAATAATATATTATACTGAAATGTTCTTTCTTCTTCCCTCTTAGGAAGCTTCTTAGAATTCTCCCTCTACCAAGTGAAAACTGGAGTGCTTTAGTTGAAGAGTGGTGTTGCCACCCTAACCCCTTTGCCAGAAGCACTTTGCACCCCCAGCATGATGACTGTTTTCTTGGAGACACTTTTTTTCTGTTGAATTCAGGAAATGAATCACATGTGCCTGAATCTCCCACGTGCTGCTCAGAGACTGGACACTGTGCTTCTCAGAGTGGCTCCAACTTGGTAAAGTATTTTGTTTGAATAGTTCTTAATGAATGTATTTGGACTTTTTTCCCTTGTAAAACACTTCTTTTTTCACTGGTTCATTTAACTTGCATGTATTACAGAGCTGTTTTGAAGGTCACAGGGAGCTGTTGACACTGAGTGGTACAGAAGCCAGAAAACATTCCAAGCTATGATTTACATTTTCTCAATTATGCACCATGGTCTTGATATTGACTTAGATATGCAAGAAGAGCTTCTTCCCATAAAATGAATTAGAAACTATTTAATTATGTAGTTCTAAACCCAAATATTTTCCCAAAAAACATCCTGAGTGAAGGACGTCTTTAGTAAGATAATAACTGTAGTGAGTTAGGCGTTTGTCAAAGGGTTGTAGAGCGAAGAATGAGGAGGAAACTGAGGTAACAGTGCAACTGAGTGCATAGACCTAGATGTGATCAGAGGAAGATGTGATTTATTTCTTTTTCTGTTTTTTTTTAGCTTTAGAAAGACTGGGAAAATTAAAATGTGTTTTGAGTTCAGAACTTAGACTCTTAGAATATAGAAAGGAAATTGAGTTTGACTGCTCTGTTTAGAGCAAGGGACCAACCACCTCGGGTTATAACTCTTCATGTTGATGTTTCTGAGATGTTCCAGGAGAGGATATACCCATCAGCTGAGTCTCTAGGAAGAAGACACTCATTTGACTTGGAAACATCAAAATTTGTTTTTGCACAGGAAAAAAAAAAGTAGGGACACTGATGTTCCATTAGTGGGATAAAACCCATGAAGAAAGAAAATTCAATGCTTTACTCATCTTGGAAATCTAGCACTTATATAGAAGTTCAGGCAATACTCTTTTCTTCTTCCAGAAGAACGTGCAGGAACTTAGTTCACAAAAGTCTACATTTCCATAAAGTCTTTTCTGTTAATCTATTGCTTGTCTGTATTTATGCTGGCAAAGGTTGGGACTGCAGATACCATCTTTTCTTCCAGTACCATGTATTAAACCTAATTACCGAAATCCTTCTACAATTATGGCAACTGTTGCTGCTTTGGCAACTTGGATCTGTAACAGCTGATGACTTGCTACCCCCAGGTTCCCAGCATGAAACTTTTGATCTGTTGAGAAGTAATGCCAGAGATCCTGATTCCAGTCTGCTGCTGCTGCTTATTATCATTAGGAATTTGTATTATCCCCAGTTAAATCATGGGGATTCTTGCAGTTCAGCAGTCACTGGCGCAGTGTATCCAAGCGAACCATCTGCTTGGGGAACAGTTCTGTCCTAGGGTCCATACCTGCGAGTCTTGTAGCTGGGGTCCCTTTGATTTCTTGCTCCATTGTTCTTTGAAAAGCAGAACATGTAAAGGAGAAGCTAAGAACTGTTACCCTGAAAGGGTTTCAGCGTGGGAAAAGCAGATTAATTTGGATTAACTCTGTGGCAACTGGAGTTATTTCTTCTAAGCATCTTTAGCAGGAGACTGAGCAAAAGATTCCAAATTTCTAGGAGGACAATGCTTGCTGCCAGAGGTCCCCAAAATGAATTATCTCACATACCAGTACTCTCAAAAGATCTTAGAACAATGGGAACAAAGATGAGGGAAAACATGGTGCATGGAGTTCATAGTGCAGCCCAAAGACAGGGGGAGCAGTCAGCTCAACACACCTGTTTAATCAATCTAAGAGAACATTTGCCAGAAAAAGGTTGTTTTTGCGGCAGAAACATGATAAAAGGATAAGGGACAAAAATGTTACTGAGGTGTGGGTCAAACCAGGATAACCACAGAACTTCTGAATGAGGGAGGAGGCTATTTTCTGTCAGAGGCACACAGTAGTAATTTAATGTGATGAATTTTTGTGTTTACTTCCTTGAAGTTGAGAACCCTGTCCTTATTTGTGTCAAATCCCTCTTTCTACATTGTTCACACTTGCAGCGAATTCTCATTTCCATGTTTGCTTATTTCCAGCATCATTCGGTTGCCAAGCAAATGAGCAAAACTGGAAGATCCAGCAGAAACTGGACTAATAAGGGAAAAAACATGCGTACCGAAACAGAAAATTCTTCCATAATGTGAATAATAGAAAGTTACAGGCAAGATAGATTGCTATTGGTATTAATGTTCTCATTTCAGAGAATATTGTTGCAGTCTGCCCCAGTATGAAAGTTCTTTTTTAATTGCATTGCACTTCTTTGGAAACTGTTTGCCTAC